ACCCAATACAAGAAAATATTAAGCATTTAAAACAAAAGATTACATTCAAAGATTTACTGCCATTTCTTGTAGCGTATGTGAAGCTCCATTGTGCTATCACTTTGCTGCTACTCTGTAATCATCATATTGCAGCTCTCTCGTCTTTCCATTTGCTGCTACTTTGGCAGCTTGAACACCACAACTCTAACAATAGCAACAGGTTCGAGTGAGAACCATGAGGAAGGTTCCCCAGAAGACTGTGATTTCTCAGATGCAGTTCTAAGATACATAAACAAAACGCTCATGGAAGAAGATGTGGAGGAAATGACATGTATGCTTCAAAACTCTGATGAGCTTCAGGCTGCTGAGAAGTCATTCTACGAGGTTCTAGGCAAGAAATATCTACCTTACCCTGAACAAAATAATGATGAAAACAAGGAGAGTCAAGATAGTAGTTTCATGCAAAATTTGAATGAACAACAATCACCTAATTTTCCCATTTCTAGCATATATGAGGCACCTTGTAGTGTGGTCACTAGTACTATGGATGGGCTTGCAGACTCGCAAAATAGTACCATTCATGTCACAGATTGGAATGTCAAGATTCAATCCATTCACCAATTCAAGAAAGGGGTTGAAGAGGCTACTAAATTTCTTCCTAGAGGAAACAACCAATTTGTGAATTTGGATGTCAATGTGGTGGCGCCTCCAAAGCTTAATGTGGGCACTGGTGATTTGCTGGTGCGGGAAGAGAATAAGGGCGAGGGTGAGTGCTCAGCTAGTGGGATGAAGGGAAGGAAGAACTTGCGCACAAAGAATTTTTTCGCAGAAGAGGAAAGGAGCGAAAAATAGAGAGCAATTTATCCAGACCTTTCTGTACGATCAGAGCTGTTTGATACGGTTCTGCTTTCTAGTTCCTTGCCAAGCCAAACATCAATTTCTGACCCAGGAGAAGCGTTGCAAAATGGAACAAGCAAACTTTCCAAAGTAACTAATGGTAGAAAGGGTTATGGTAAGAAACGAAATGGGAAAAAGGAGGTTGTGGACGTGGGAGCACTCTTGATTCGTTGGGCAGAAGCTATTGCAAATGATGACAGAAGGAACGCGAATGAATTGCTAACGCAGATCAGGCAGCATGCTTCAATAGTTGGGGATGGAAATCAGAGATTGGCTCAGTGCTTTGCGGATGCCCTTGAGGCACGCTTGGCTGGCACTGGTAACGAAATGTATAAAGGCATTGTTAGTGGAAGAAAATCTGCTGTCGATCACTTGAGAGGGTACCGTCTACATATAGCTGTATGTCCTTTCGTCATAGTTTCCAGTTTCATTGCAAATAAGACAATAATAAGTTAGCAGAGAGATCAATGAGGCTTCAGGTAATAGATTTTGGCATTCTTCATGGTTTTCGATGGCCCACGCTTATTCAGCGGCTCTCCATGAGACAAGGTAGACCACCAAAGCTTCGAATTACAGGTATTGTTATTCTTGAACCTGGCTTTAGGTCAGCTGAGCGGGTTGAAGAAACAGGACGTCGCTTAGCATCTTATGCTGAAGAGTACACGGTCCCATTTGAGTTCATTGGTATAGCAAAGCGATGGGATGCCATTAAAGTTGAGGAACTCAAGATCGATAAGGATGAAGTAATCGTTGTTAGCTGTTTGGATCGTGCCAAGAAGTTAGTTGATGAATCTGTGGCAGAAAATAGTCCAAGAACAATTGTTTTCAATCTGATACGGTAGATCAATCCAGATAATTTCATTCATGGGGTTGTCAATGGGGCCTACAATTCTCCGTTTTTTGTTAGAAGGTTCCGACCGGCTTTGCTTCACTTCTCTGCAATGTTTGATATGTATGATACCATTGTACCCCGCGATGATCCAGACAGATTGCTCATTGAGAAAGATCACTTAAGGGAGGAGTCCTTGAATGTTATTGCTTGCGAAGGCTGGGAAAGAGTAGAGAGGCCAGAGACATACAAGAACTGGCAAATCTGTAACCAAAGAGCCGGGTTTGTACAGCTCTCATTTGACAGAGAAACAGTTATAGAGACGATTGATAGAGTAAGTTCTCACTACCACAAAGATTTCATGATTGATGAAACGGACAAGTGGGTTGTACAAGGATGGAATGGAAGGATATTATATGCCATTTCCATTTGGAGGCCAGCACAGAGACATTCAATTTAGTCTTAATTATCATGATTGATAGATTGCCATTTTAAGCATAAGTGCTCCAGCAGAGATAATTAAGGACCAAAGCCAATGCAGCATGTACGTAGTCTTATCAATTGTCTTTTGTTCTCTACTCTCTTTAACATATTTGAAGTAAGAAACTCCAAATTCTGATAATTAGGAAATTGAAGAATGGAAAAGAATACACATTGTACATTTTGTAGAATCTTAATTCTTAGAAACCATGATGCTCTATTATTTGAAAGTTCCTAAGTCACAATACCTGTATCCAGACTTCTGCAACGTCAGTCCCAGCAACTGTCTTTCTTTGTTTGAATCCGTAGAAGTTCATCATCTTTACGAACAAGTTCTCCAATGCCAACTGGAAAGTTAGACAAGGGATTAATGAAATCCATACTTTAACAGGATCTAAATACAATATCAAGAATCAATTTTGAATGGATACACAGATACATACAAATGTCAACTCAACTAATGAGAAATGCAAACAATACAAAGTTGTATCAAATGTATTAGCAGGATTAAATACTTTGAGTAAGCAAATAAACACTTCCTTCATAGAGAAATCAAACTTATAGACTGACAGGTGTCAATCAAATACTTGGTCAGGAATGGCCATTGCTGGTGAGGTTTCAACGGAATAAAAGATCTACGGCTCAAATGAATTTTATTTTAAGCTGTTATTTCTTTTAATTGCTTCTAATTAGAAATTCTTCCGTTTCATTTGTTCAAATAATTCTATATTTAGTTATTTTAGTACTTAATTAATCATAACTTCTATCCAAATGATACTCTATTCATCACTTTATTACTTAAGTAATTAGTACACTTACTAATGATTTTAACAAACTTAAAATTGACATTTTGTTTTAAAATGCATGTTTCTCATTCTTAACGTTTTATTTTTCTCAAAATGTTCTCAACCAACAAATTTAACAAGTATGTTGTCAACTAATAAATGTTCAATCAAATTAGTACTAAGTGTAAAACCTTGATCTAAAATTCTCAAAATGCAACAAAGTAGCTAAAATTCGACATTAAAAAATAATAATAATAAGAGAAACATTAGACGTAAGACCGCTAGTGGCTTAACATACAACTGTTAATAGCCAGTCCAGCCACTAAATTTATTTAGAGAAACGGTTTAATTTAGCATTCAACTATTTTTTTTTTTTTTGAACAGTGTGGAATTTTTTTTCGAAGAAGGGGGAAGGGGGTTTGGGATTTGATCCCAATCTCTTTAGTCCTGAGCACATCCCGGTAGGGGTGGTCATTGAGCCACCAAGTGCTGGACAGCATTCAACTAATTTAATGTGCAATTCCCATCAAAAATATATTTTAATTTTAGTTGTATCGTCTCAAGTTCTAACACCGTGCGAAGCTAAGCTGATTGTTCCTGATGCTAGACAATCACTAAGGGCATTTGAGCAGGAAAAACGGATGATGAAAGGCCAAAACAAATGCCTTGGCTTTTAGAGAACATGAAAGGCCACCAACTGCAGTGCCAAGAGTTTTGCTTCCTTTTACTGTACAGTGACGTTTGAATGGAATAAAAGATCAACGGCTCAAATTGATTCACTACCCCAGGACGAATTAATTTTTACAATTTTTTTTATGAGCTCAGATCAACAACCAACTACACCTCGCAGACTTCTGGACCAACCATTTCCTTTCTTTAAAAAAAAAAAAAAATTGGCCTTTGGCCTAGCTTTATTTTCCTTACTGTCACTTATTGATCGCGAATGCTTTGCTTCTATTGGCAATTAACGTAGCAGCAAATCATCGTTTCTTACAGCAATGAAGTGATGATACTAAAACCAACTTGCCCGCATTCACCTCCGGTGCAGGAAGAAGACAGGCTCTTTTTGGGCCGACCATTTTTTATAATGTTGCTTCCTTTTGTAAAGTGACAGGATAATGATAACGACCGAAGCCCAAATACCCCTTTCCTTATACCCATACTCTGCTCTTCTCCATTTCTCATTTCTTCTCTCCTGTTTGAGTGCTTCTTAAACTCGGGGTTTCCATTCCAAGGTACGCTTTTTTTTATTTTCTTTTTTTGCTTCTTCTTACCAGAAAAGGGGATTGCTTTATTGGGGATCTCGTGTTTTTGTTTGATATCATTGCTCTTTGTTGTTGACCTTAATTAGTTTGATTGAAGGTGTTTTTGTTTGGTCAAAGTTTGAAACTTTTTTGATTCAACTGTTTTGAGATTTTTCTTGGGTGAGATTATGGATAAGAGGTTCAGAGGGCATTTAGGTTCCATAAATGGGAACCAAATGAGAAGTCAACCCCAATCAGCATATCCAAATGAACCCATATCAAATTTCTGTATTCAAAACATTGTTGCTGCACCCAGACTTGAGAATAACATACCAGATCACAGGTTTAAGGGAGTTAATTACCACCGACCCGATCCAAATTCAAGTAAGGTAGCAACAAGTTCAAGTGTGAACCATGAGGAATATTCCCTAGAGGACTGTGATTTCTCAGACGCAGTTTTAAGATACATAAACAAAATGCTCATGGAAGAAGATATGGAGGAAAAGACATGTCTGCTTCAAGACTCTTTTAAACTTCAAGCTGCTGAGAAGTCACTCCATGAGGTTCTAGGCAAGAAATACCCACCTTCTCTTGAACAAAATGTTCATGAAAACAGGGACAGCCCAAATGATAGTTTCATGCAAAATTTGAGCGAATATCAATCACCAAAATTTCCCATTTATAGCAACATATCTCAGTCAACTTGTAGTGTGGTCACTAGTACTGTGGATGGACTTGCAGACTCTCAAAATAGTACTATTCATGCCCCTGATTGGAATGACAAGATTCAAACCATTTGCCAATTCAAGAAAGGGGTTGAAGAGGCTACTAAATTTCTTCCTATAGGAAACAATCCATTTGTGAATTTTGGTGTCACTGTGGTGGAGCCTCCAGAACTTAATGTGGGGACAAATGATTTGGTGTTGAAGGAAAAGAAAAAGGATGAGTGTGAAGACTCAGCTAGTGGGATGAGCGGAAGGAAGAACCTTAGCGCAAAGAATCTTGTTGCAGAAGAAGAAAGAAGCCAAAAGCAGATAGCAATTTATCCAGACCTCTCTGTACGATCAGAGCTATTTGATATGGTGTTGCTTTCTGATTCCTTGCCAGGCCAAACAGCAATATCTACCCAATGGGAAACATTGCAGAATGGAACAGGCAAACTTCTGCTAAAGAATGGACGATCCAAGGTAACTAAAAGTGGAAAGGGCCGTCGTAAGAAACAAAATGGGAAAAAGGAGGAGGTGGACGTGAGAGCACTCTTGATTCGTTGTGGACAAGCTATTGCAGCGGATGACCACCAGAATGTGAATGAATTGCTGAAGCAAATCAAGCAGTATGCTTCATTAGTTGGGGATGGAAATCAGAGATTAGCCCAGTGCTTTGCTGATGCTCTTGATGCACGCTTGGCTGGTACTGGTAGCCAAATCTATAAAGGCATTGTTAGTAAAAGAACATCCACTGCTGATATATTAAGAGGGTATTGTGTACATGTAGCTGTATGTCCTTTTAGAAAGGTTTCCAATTTCATTGCAAATAAGACAATAAATATAGTAGCAGGTAACTCAATGAGGCTTCATATAATAGATTTTGGTATTCTTTATGGTTTCCAATGGCCTACTCTTATTCAGCGGCTCTCCATGAGACAAGGTGGACCACCAAAGCTTCGGATTACAGGAATTGATATTCTTGAACCTGGCTTTAGGCCAGCTGAGCGGGTTGAAGAAACAGGACTCCGCTTAGCAGCCTATGCTAAAGAGTTCAAGGTTCCATTTGAGTTCAATGGTATAGCAAAGAGATGGGATGCCATCAAAGTTGAGGAACTCAAGATTGATGAGGATGAAGTGATTGCTGTTAACTGTTTGTATCGTGCTAAGTGCTTGCTTGATGAATCTGCAGCAGTAGACAGTCCAAAAAATGTTTTTCTCAATTTGATAAGGCAAATCAATCCAGATATTTTCATCCATGGGATTGTCAATGGGGGCTACAATTCTCCCTTTTATGTTACAAGGTTTCGAGAGGCTTTGTTTCACTTCTCTGCAATGTTCGATATGCTTGACACCCTTGTACCTCGTGATAATCCAGATAGGTTGCTCATTGAGAGAGATCGCTTCAGGATAGAGTCTTTGAATGTTATTGGTTGCGAAGGCTGGGAGAGAGTGGAGAGGCCGGAGACATACAGACAGTGGCAAATCCGTAACCAAAGGGCTGGGTTTGTACAGTTCTCAATTGATAGAGAGACAGTTAAAGAGGCGATTCATCGAGTAAGGTCTCACTACCACAAGGATTTCATGATTGATGAAACTAGCAAGTGGCTTGTACAAGGATGGAAGGGAAGGACTCTATATGCCATTTCCACTTGGAAGCCAGCACAGAGAGCTTCGATATTGTCTTATAATGATTGACATACTGCCACTAAAAGCATAGCTGCTCTAGCAGGAATAATTAAGGACCTAAGGTAATGCTGTATGTTCAATTGTCTATTACCCTCTACACTCTTTATCTTTAACATATTTCAAATAAGAAACTCCAAACTCTAATGCATTTATGATATGGTAGATGAGTTATCTGTTAGAAATACAGCACATAGGATTCCAATTATTGAAATAGAGATGCAGCACTTAAACATGAAGAACTGAATAGGAGTCATATTCATACTGTGTTTGCAAGCTTGTATTCCTAGTTTTCTACTAGTATAAAATACCCTTATTCCTGGGACACAATGTAAAAACTAAGCACAGAACACATACACATTCCAATTGGAAGGTAAAAGTTGTACAAGTAAGAACTGTCAAGGAAGAGAGAAGAATTGAATTACCAAGAGGATTGCACCTAGCAGCTCCAAGTGGCAAAAATTTTTCCTTTATTTAAGCCTCCATACATTACAACTGCATGTTGTCACAAATCGGGAACTCTTTGACATAACTGGAGAAATTTCACCTTTTCCATAATCAATCATTAAACATTCATCAAAATTCACTTTTAACTCCATATAATTAGGAAATTGAAGAATGGACACTTGGACAGGAATGCATGCTTCAGTATAATCTCAATTCTCAGCATAGATAATCCTAATTTGACTCCGTTGTTGCCCACTTCCTTACGTGGTTAAGTACACCTTGGTCGGCGTTTCCACCGACCCTTTGAACGACCCAATAGTGGAAAGACTACTGCTGTTGATGGTTTTGGAGGGAACGCAGAAGCTGGAACGGTACCTCCGGTTTTGAAAGGTGAAATTTTGATAGATTTGAAATTGGGGTTTAGGAGAAGAATTACTGGCAGTTGCAGAAATTAGCAATCGCCATATCTCCCTCAGTGCCTTTCTTTCTTAGACGGTGCTTAACGTGGAAAACCGAAAATCCAAACGACGTCCTTTTCATCAAATCCAAGACTCATTCTTGTTTAATTTCATTAACAAAAAATCCAAAGGGCACTTGAAAGAAAATATTAGGGCTTTTAACATGCGGACTCTGGCTCACAGTCGTTAAAATGCGTGTTTCCCATCCAATTAATAACAAGAGATACATTAGACGTAAAACCCATATTGGCTTAACATACAACTGTTAATATCAGCTCAGCCACTAAGTTTATATAGAGAAACGGTTTAAACATTTCCCTTAGAAAATATTTTTTATTTTTAATTGTATCATCTCATGTACAAAAAAGGCAGGAAGCTGATTTGATCGTTTCCAGGTCCTAGACACACAAATACTGGCATTCGACCATCAAAAACGGGCAGTGATTTGGGAAAAGAGGGCCTTAAAATCCTTCGTTGGTGTGCCAGTTCCCTCAGGCTTTGAGGCCAAATCAAATGCCTTGAATTTTGCTTCCTCGTACTGCAGTGCCTGCACAAGATGGGGAGAGATAACATGAAAATGGTCACCAACTGAAGGTGATGTAATTATCTGTTCAATTCTTACAAACTATGATCAAATCCCTATTCCTTGATCATTCTTAAGTAACAATACCTGTAGGCCCAAAATAATAAAAAGAAAAAAAAGAAGAAGTAACAATACCTGTATGCAGACTTCTGCAACGTCAGCCCTGGGAATTGTCTTTGTTTGACTCTGAAGAAGTTCATCATCTTTCCCAACAAGTAATTCTCTGACGCCACCTTCTGTATCTAGGAGTCCTCCAGCCCTAATCAGTCACAGAGGTTATGTCAACTGGAATGCAACACAAGTGAATAGTGAAATCCATACCATAACAGGGGTAATGCAGGATCAACCAGCATCTTGGTGAGAAGGTTGCAGTTAAATATGTCAAAAGACTCTCAGATCATAGTCATTAGCTTTCAGATTGCTCAGATCCTTCTTATCATTAATGGAGAAGGAATTCTTGATTAATATCAAGAATTAATTTTGAAACTGTTTGAACTTGGCTATATAACAAAATGTTAACTGACACATACAAAAATGTGGTACTTGAATGTAAACACAGATACATACAAATGTCAAGTCAGCTTATGATGAATGCAAAACACATGGAAAAATCTATTTAAAGAACCTAATTAAACATTTCCATCAAACAATACTACCTGCCAACTGAACCAGTCACCCTTTTCTTTTTTCAGAAACTTCGAGACGTCTATCTAAACAACCTAATCAGATATGCTTTTCTAACACTTGTATCAAACAATTAACGAGACACAAGAAGCACAAAAGCAAGCAAAATTTCCAATTCTACCTGATAATTGTGTATGGAATGCCAGAATCAGCCAAATACTCTTCAGCCTTTCTCTTCCAAATCTGTAAACATAACAAACATAATATAGCATTTTGCAGTGAAATTGCATTGTCCCTTGATTAAAGGAAAACGAGAACAAATAAGCACAGAAAAACACATTCTCTCAAAGACAAGAAAGAAGTTAGAAATTCTATTATCAGAGAAAACAAAAACAAAACTAACCAAAATATTCCCATTTCCCAAGCTGTTCAATGGGTGATTAGGATTTGTTCCACCCATCGACCCAACCAACACAATTTGCTTCACTCCAGCAGCCTTAGCTGTTCAGGTGGAAAATTTGATTCATTAAAACAAACATTAAACTAAACATCATTATCCGAAACAATTTACTAGATAAAGAACCCACCAGCATCAATTTGATTTTTTTGACCAATCCAATCAACCTAGGACACAAAAATACCATTCATAAGAACAATGAAACATAATAGAAATGAAATTAGCAACACTTGAGTTAGAATTGCTTACCTGTTCAGGATATGCTCCTTCTTCAAAACAGAACTCTGGTCTTCCTCCTTTAGATGGATCAAATCCAGGTTTCATCTTGGGTACAGCACTTGTAACAATGATGAGAGCATCAATTCCTTGGATGGCAGGAAAAATGCTGCCGGAATCCCTTATATCACCAACAAAAACATCATCTGCTGCCCCAATTTTTTCCTTACTTTCTTCAGTTCTAACCAGTCCTCTCACAACAAATTGATCAGACCTCTCCTTTAATTTCCTATATGCAATCTGACCTAAAAAATAAAACAACAAAATCCATTTCACAGGAGGAATCGAAATTTTTGATAATTTCATGTCAACTAAAGAACATGACAAATTGAATGAGGAAGCTAGAGAAAACCTGTTCTGCCACCAGCACCAGTGACGAGTATTGTACTCCGAGGCAAATCCGCCATTAATGTAGACACGAGTCCTGCTCTTCAAAAACCCTAGACGTTTGTGGTCGCGGAAGATGGCAACGGAACTGAGTGACAAGAAGAGCTAGGAGAGCGGGTGGAAGATTCTGGAAGGTTTGTAAGTAGGAGTATTGATAATGCCACGCAACCGGATTTGTGACGTTGATTGATGTAGGGGCAGTGGACAAGACCGGTGAGACACGTGTCAGAGAAGCAATCGAACAGGGGGTTTGGTTTGACCGGATTTCATCCGACGGCCGATGACTGTAGCAAAATCAGGAGAAGGAAACGGATTAAGTAATCGGCCGTTGTGTGTCTGAGCCGTTAATCCGTAAGGAGATTTTTTAATATTTTTTCGATTTTGTTATCCTGTTTTGGTGTGGGTCAGCCCATACCTATCAAGATAATTGGGTCAGCTTAGTGCATCATTGCATCCCATGATTGGAAAGTTTTCGGGCTTTGTGAGGCAGCCAAGGCCCATTGATGAAATGTCAAGAAGGAAATCAGTTTCTAACTTTCTACTAAAATACCAAAAATAAAAAAGACAAATCACCAAACAACTTTTTAAGCCGAAATAAAAAGGTGCTTAGTGGTTTAACTTTAAATTATTAATAATAGTTAATATAATAATTTTATACTAATCACATTTATACTTTCATCTTAACATAAAATTTAAGATGTATATTAATGTTTTTCTTGTGAGATGATTCATTAAATTTTACTTTTGCCATTCAAGCAATGTAATTGATGAACACCAGTCGTACACGTAGCCAAACACACATCATTCATAGGCATTTTGCCACTGCAGCAGCACTAAAGAGATAGGACCGCTCACTCCTTCCAGTTCTCACAAAACCAATAAAGGGGACCTACATGCCATCAATGATACAGATGGTAGGGCCTCTATTTCCAAGCCGAGGCAAAGCTTCACCTAAACCTTTATACATAATTTACTCTATCTTCTTGGTATGGTATGCCTATAACTCATCTACCGTACCCTCTAAAATATAAATAAACATTGCTATCAAGCATACCATGTTCCTTAGAATTCTTATGCTTCAAATCCACCCACCGACTTTGAAATATGTTATGTGAAGCTAACGTCTGCATTACACAAACAACAATTCGGTTTCATTTGACATAATTGCAGGTTGCAGATGGATTGTGACATCACTAATTAAGATGCATCCAAGTAGGAGGAAGGTGTCAACGTGTTTTTTTTTTTTTTGGTAGCCAAAACAGGCTGAATTTTCGATTTTTATATTCATATAATTATGCCCCGAAGGAAGAAAGGATATGTACATGGGAGGAACAATGATTAGGAATGGGGACAATATGATCCCTCAGGACATGACTGATTTTCTTGCATTGGCACTACTAGTACATATATAATCTAAGCTGTCACAGATGCCTCCACCACAACCTGCTGGCCAGAGTAGCCCACTTCTGACTTCCTATCAGCCTCCCAGAGCTCCGGCAAGGCTTCCTTGATGTTGTGGATGCTTTCTAATGCATAATCTGCACCTTTCACTCTTTGAGAAGTACCAACCTGAAAATTTTGTACCAAGAACCAGATTAGTAAGAAAATATTTATGTTTAATTATTGAGAGAATTTATGTGGATTGAGGAATTAGATTAGAGTTCCCATATGGCAAATGCAAGTCCAAGGACTTACCAGGACAGTGTGAAGGCCCAAGCGTTTTCCAGCCTGGATGTTACGAACACTATCCTCGAAGAACAACTGAAAGAGAGAAATTCCAAGGATGTGTAACATTAGCTGATTAAAATGAAATTAAATTACATAGATATATGTATGCGATTAAACATAAAGATCATCGTACTGTTCTCTGTGGGTTGATGTTGGCTATCTTGAGAGCACGTTCTATGGCAGCTTCTGATGGTTTGCAAACAATAGGTGTCTTTGGTAATGCCACAGCAGAGTTTGGTTGAGCAAAATGATGAACGATGTCAAAGATTTTGGAGCCACCAGGAACATCATTTGAATTAGCAGCTGTAGTTGATCCAATAAACTCGATGTCATCTTCATCGTCAGAAGCAGCGGTCTTGTGAGTAGGATTCAAAGTCTCAAAGCAGATGATTCCTTCAAAACAATCCTCTAACCCCAGCCTGCTAAGAACTTTAGCTGCATGGACCCTGTCTGCATTTGTGAAGATCTGTTTCAAAGGAAAAGATTAAGAACTGTTAGAATACAATCCAACATAAATGTTCACTAACCAGGCTATATCTAGGGAGCAATCCAGCACTTACAACTTTTTGAAGAGGCAAGCTCAGCAACAAGCTCTTCAAAACAGGATCCGGCTTTAGGTTCTCATAAGGTAGTCTTCCATGAACAAAACTACAACATAAGAAAGTAAAATGTAGTCAGAAACGCAATTTTTCTTTCTAGTGGAAAGGAAAGAAGAAAAGGAAATAAGGGACAGCAATACCTATGGTACTCGTCATAGTCAAAGTCATAACCAATTGCCTGTAAAATCAGAGACCACATTGATCGCATTACATTACTTTTCTCTTGCTTTATAATGGGACCAAAGAAAAGGATAATAAAGGGGAAAATAGGAGTCATAGATACCCTTAGGCCAGCCATTGTTGTCCCATAATTCTTGTACAATAGATTTGACAACTCAATGATTTTGTCCCTCTCTATTCCAAGCTTTTCAACCATGTAATCTAAAACAATGACATGACTTCAAAAATTAGAAACACAAAAAACCTTGGAAGTAAAACAAAAAGAAGCATCAAATTACAAAATGCAAAATCCTTACCCTTAATGTTCTTTCCACATTCTCTTGCAATCCCAGAACTAAGAGGATAAAGGGTATCATCAAGATCTGCAAATTCACAAGAATTGGTATCAAGTCCTTCTCGGGGCTCCAGTTCATATCATAACCACATGTGTCAAGTAGTGGAGAGCTTACCGAATAGAAGGCAATCATACTTTGGGCTCTGAAGCAATCTGTAGCAGTTTTCATACTCCATCTTCTCTTCAAGTGGCAAAAATAACCAGTAAAGAAGCGTGATTGTATTCGAAGTTCGAACCACCTTAAATAAATGAGGAGAAGCTGTTAAGGTTAAGCTTAAAGATGACTTATAACCACTAAAAATGTTATTAAAAATTATTTTAAATCTAAAACAATAATTTTCATGGCTAGTACGAATTGAGGCCCTTATTGACTCAGATTACCACCATGAAAAGGTGGAAATCTTGTCCAATACCAAGCAGTTAGGATAAGGCATCTTTGAACACATGAGTGGACAAACCACAACCACAGCAACAGAGGGAATCAGAAACATTCAGGTCATTGACTTTACAGAACTGTTATAATAAAAACTGAAAAACCCCATCAAAATGATATCGAAAAGAGCCTAAAGCAACTGCAAAAGTTTAAATGTGACGCGGCATTAACGCTTTAAGAAAATGGGAACAATTCATATGATACACTTTTCTGAGAGTCGAACGCAGAAAGTGGTGATAATTTAACATAGAAATCATGGATGACATCGAAAAAAGCATTCATTATCATGAAACTAAATTAATTTCAGAATGAAGAACCGGCATTTACGGGACTCTTCATAATCTAAAATAGAAAAAGGCTGAAAAAAAAATGAAACCCAGAAAAACAGAAGCGTTCAAATAACAGAAATGCTATAGGAACAAGAAAATGCAAGAAAATTCAAACGCCACCCAATTGAAATTGAATAGATATCGTACCCGTTTCAAAAACGCGTAGTTCGAAAGATAAAAAGAGGAGGAAAGGAGGAAAAGGGAAATGGAAGCAGATGTTGCAAGCAATGAAGAGGAAAAAAACAGGGGGCGAAGGGGAGGAAGAAGGGAGTCGAGGGTGGGTTTAAATAAGGCAAAGCCGTTGCCTGTTTGGCCATTTGAAAATTATTTTTCTTGTGCTACTTAAACACGTTTGACTAAATTAGGTTGAATGGAAAGCAACAAGTTTTTTAAGCGCGCCTTACAAGAAACAGGGAGCTTAGACAGAGCACAGATAGCTGTTCTTACAGGACTCTTCTGAGATTTCCAGCGGTCTGAAATTCTCCTCCAGAATTACCCATAATCCAGGAGCTGAAGTTTAATTTAAGATTTTTGTTTTATTTTACTACATAAATTTAGGTTGTCTCTGTCTTAAATGAGTTGTAACTTGTAAACCTATATAAACTTGAATTCTTGACCTTTTTATTAAGTTGTAGAGAAAGATGGAGTGAATTTGGATCTTAGCTGTGCCTATATTCACATATACATAATTATGATGAGAGGATGAAAATTTGAAACTAAAATTTAAGATTAATAATGTG